ATCAGCTTCATTCAAAAAGCTGGTTTTGTGACAGTTTGATTTAAATTTGTTACAGCTCTTCATTCAGCATTTTCTTTATAGTGTGTATTATTAAGATACTCTAGTGATATGTCTTTCTATTGGGAATGTTTATATAATTTGTATTATATTAGTATCTTTTAAACCACATGTGTCAAACTCAAGGCCCGGGGGCCAAATCAGGCCCGTGGTGGATTTAATTTCGGCCCGCAGGATAATTTCTCATTTATATTAGATCTGGCCCGCTGGTGCACATTCACTCAACCCTGAGGGTCTCCTCAGCTCAGAGCCTGAGCCCAAACATTGATGAACTTGCACCCAAGATGAGATGCCAAGTATCTGGCTTGAACTAGCATCACAGAGCAGCACACTGAGTTTAATGGATGTTTCCTTCTGCACTTTCTTTCTTGAGACAACAGGGCATGTTTGGTTTTTCTTTGAGGGAAATAGTTTTTTTGAAGCTGTTGTTGGCCTGTGGAGAAATGTAATCATAAGAAATGACTCTGGAAAAGCTGCAGATAGAGCCATAAGAAATGAATGCAACTGATTATTTAATGTTTAATGTTGTTTTTATAGGCAATCATTTAAGCTTTGTTAGTTCCAGGTTTAATATGTGCAATAAGTTCATTTCAATACGTTCTGCAATAAACATTGAACCAGTCCGGCCCTCGACTAGTACCCATTTTCTTTTATTTTGGCCCACTGTGTATTTGAGTTTGACACCCCTGTTTTAAACTCATGTAATGCTGTATATTATATCTCCTTTGTTAATTACATACAGAAAATCTCAGTCTGAAATCATACATTTGCCATTTGAGATCACTCGCTGTTTCCAGTCTCTGTGCTACGCTAATTAATAATACACATTTTGAAGTCCGATAAAATGATCAGGAACATTAAGATTAAAACAAGAAGTACTTTATTGATCTCAATTTGGGAAACGTTTGCGTTGCAGCAAGCATAGAAGACAAGGCATTGCACATAAGAGAAATAAACAATTGAAATATCTCAAAATAGAAATAAAACAGCATTAAAAAATATACATGTTGAAATACCAATTTACAGTAAACAAAATATTAAGATACTTAGCTCTGTTGGAGGAAAACGTAATTCTTCGTTACAATTTGGTGGCCTAAGAGTGATCGAAATTCAATGTGCTGATATATCAGAATCAAAGATGAGGCATTTGTCACTCTCTCTCCTATCCTTGATCTCTCTGTCGATTTGTGAAATGATCCAATAGAGCCAAAATAATCATCATTAGAGTGCGAAAATTTGACTTCTTCCTATAATTAGGTGATTTGCTGCAATCTGCCACGAGGACTGTCAATCTGTCAGAGTGTTCGTCCTCCTGTTAGACCGCCTCAGAGACAATTACTGTGGGCTCCTCCTAATTAAAAGCTCATTGAAATGTACGAGAGCCTGTTATGAATTATTGAGTTCTGTTTCCTGGGAGGGACGCCATTAGGGAACTTTAAAGCAAGTGCATTTCTCCTCTGTCGGTGTGTTTGGTTTGGAATATCTTAAGGTGTGTGTCTCCCTCTGGTGGACGATGGGAGACATTACACATGAGGAATTGTGAAAAAACAGATTTCATTTTTGTTTGTTTTACCCGTTTTTTCTGTAAAGCGACCCCTGAAAGGTGGCGCGATATAAATCGAAGTTATTATTATTTAAATGCCTGCTCTTGCTACAGTCGCTCTATTTTACTGTTGATTTTGTGATATGAAGACACACTAGGCTTCGATCTTTTCAAACAGTGGTCATGATAAAATGTGAATCTTTACACGTTTGATTTTTTTAAACTTGTTATTTGACAATAGAGACACGTGAGGGATGAGCTTCGATGTCTTGCCTCTTTTAGTGGCTCCTTGTTTCTTCTCAGATCCAGATGTTCCCTTCTTCGCTGATCCTTTTGAGCACCTGGGTGGCTGGAAGGCAGCATCACCATCTGCAGGGTTCTTACACCTTTTCAAAAGTCAAATTCAAGCACTTTTCAAGCATTTTCAAGGTGCATTTCAAGCTTATCAAGCATCTTACAGCTGTTGTAAATTACATATTTATATACACATACTTATCCTCAAATGATTATTTCCCTACCTCACATTAAATCAGATGTTCTTTATGCTATAAACAACCAAATGTGTGTTTCGTGATAGCATTCTACATGAGGATGATAAATTAAAGAAAAAGAAAACGAAGTGTAATATTTCAAAATGAGTGACCCATCTGTAAGTAGACTGGGCATGCCATATACAGAACCGCAGTGACGCGTCCTAAAACCCGGAAGTAAACTTCTTCCGGTTCCTTCGACAAAAATGCAATGCAATTTCTCCATAGGATTTTGGAAAATAGCTGGAAATAAGGTCTGTGGTTGAGACGCATTGAAGAGACGGATCACGTTTTGTTCAGCCGGATAATATCCACATCTCTTATCATTTTCGAATCATAAATCTATCGATCATAAATCTATCGATTAGATTTATGATTAGAACATTATATAAGTAGGGTAGACATGTGGATATTATCCGGCTGAACAAAACGTGATCCGTCTCTTCAATGTGTCTCAACCACAGACCTTATTTCCAGCTATTTTCCAAAATCCTATGGAGAAATTGCATTGCATTTTTGTCGAAGGAACCGGAAGAAGTTTACTTCCGGGTTTTAGGACGCGTCACTGCGGTTCTCTATAACCTGGCTGAGCCAATATACAACAATCCGCCATATAACTTTTCAATACATTCTTTATTAACATGTTTCAGGTCCTTAGGTTGGCAGTAAACATAAGGCTCTCCCAGGTTAGGCCAAAGGGGGCATTATATGCACACATACTGTATAAACTCAAATGTGAATTTTCCTTCACATTGAATCAGCAATCAGAAATTATGCAAATCAAATCAACTTTCAATCAGTCTTTGAGCTCCTTGAGTTGAAAAAGCAAACAGAAAACCTGCACAGAACACTGCACTGAATCATTCAAGGTAAGGCTAAACAGCATACGGCCTGTTAGGGAGGGTCTTTCAGTTCCTTGAGTTTGTCCGTTAGCTGTCTCTGCAAAGTCTCCAGATGTCTTTCCTTTTCCTTAGCAGCTCTTCCAAGGCCATTGGGCTTGGAGATGAAGCTTAGTTTTCTTTTTATGCAACTGTGTACTACTTCTACTCCACTACATGTATTTCACTTTAGTTACTTTACAGATCTGGATGAATGATGTGAAATATAATCAAGTGTTAAATCAGACTTTAGTTCCACCTGGACTAAATTCACCCTGCAGTATACAAAGTCATTCAAACTAGCTGCACCTTTACCAGCTTTTTATTTTTTTTCAAAATATTTTTATTCACATGGAAAAAAAGATTAACAGTGCATTACAGCAATTAAGGCATTTTCATTTTTTCCCCCAAAAGAACCCTTACTCACTTTCCCTTAACCCCGCCCCATCCCAACCACCCCTCTCCCGGAGCACTGAGGCAACAGTACATCAATTACATACAAAATAATAGATACAATAATATACATGCACATACACATACCTGCATACATACATACATGTACACATACTAACACATATCCAGGGATGTCACACGGGCTGCATGTGTGGCGGACAGGGGAGTAATCATATCGTAATTATAGAGAGATAAAGGGAGAATCCCTACAGCGACACCATATCAGGGGGAAGACGGTCTACATAGCTGATCAGTGGCCTCCAATGAGCGTTAAACTTATCTGAGGAACCCCGGAGAGTAAACTTAATTTTTTCCAACTTTAGAAGAGACATAGTATCACTCAGCCACATTTTAAAAGAGGGAGGTAAAGGAGATTTCCACAAAAGAAGGATTTTCCTACGAGCAATCAAGGAGGTAAAGGCAATGACATTGGTTTGAGTGTTTGTAATGTTGATTTCATCTGGGGGCCTACCGGAAATAGCTATATGAGGGGATGGAGAGATTTTTACCTTTACCAGCTTTGAGAACACTTTAATGATCAATCATTATAAAACATATCATATATATTATTCTGAAATGGAGCCCCAGTGACCTTTGAGATATAACCCTCTTTCAATCCCAAGAAAACATTCCTCATCAAAGACACATTCACCTCCGACAGAGTTATCCTGTGGATGAACTCAAGAAACACTATCTCCGCCTACAAGGCCTTCCCCTGCCCTCTTTTCCCAAAGTGCAGCCTCTCCTACTAATAGGTGCAGATAACTTTCACCTCATTACATTACATTACATGTCACTTGTTAGATGCTTTTATCCAAAGCGACTTACATACTCAATACTGTGGGCAATCCCCACAGGAGCAATTTGGGGTGAAGTGTCTCAGGGACACAACGACATGCTGACTGCAGTGGGGTTTGAACCTGTGACCCCCTGATCCGAACACCAACGGACAACCCACTGCACCACACGTTCCCCAACCAAAAGAGTCTCTTTGGGTCCACAGGGGGCACCAATAGCCCTCCAGCTAGGTTCAAATACAAGATCTCACTCCTCACCCATCAGTGCATCCACGGGAACCAGGGTTTCCTTTAACCGGTAATTACCGTTTTTTAGCTGGTAAAATGTATTAAAAACAGATATTCACTCTTAATAGTTTGATCGGTGCTCTCTATAAAGGCCGATCAGGAGAGCTGGATTTGATCGATATGGACATAAACGCGAGTGAAGTATAACCAGACGAGAGAGATCAGATCAGCTGCTGCATAATCACCTGAAGCCCCGCCCACTGTTTAGCGAGCCGCATGAGAAACTGACGGGCTGTCAGGAGAGAGAGAGAGAGAAAGAGAGAGAGAGGATCCGTTTCTCCCGTGTTATTATCCAAAGTTAATGTAAACTTTTGAATAATGTACTTCATCTACAACAAGTAGTTTGAATGTAATAATGATGTTGTTTGTTGTTTGTGGAAGCGCATCATTTATTGAAAATTGAATCTGAACTTTTCGATCTGTTACGATTATAAACTGTAGCAATATAACAATGACTCCCATTAACTGAGTTTAAACATCAGCATATCCGCTCATAGTCCGGTAATTACCTGCTAACGGAAACTCTGCTACACAATTCATATTATTATTATTGAAACATGACCGCTAAGTTTCAAATTTGTCCGGTAAAATAAATTCTGTCCGGACATTTGTATGTGCAACACATCTTTCTTCTTAAGAAAAGCTTTAAGTACAATTGATTGTTTTTGTTCATTTCATATTGAGGAGAGCTAACAGGAAGTCTCTCATCAGCTGCAGCCTTCTTCTTTATTTTCCAAAATGCCTCCAGGCTCCTCTTTACGTCTCAAACTCGCCCCGTGATGAATAAACTGAGAACAAATAAAACCTGAGCTTACAGATTTGTCTGGAACACCAGAAAAACGTGTTGAAACCTCAATAAATAAACTTCACATGGTACGACCTCTCACCTTTCTGTGTGTCTTCACTTCCTGTCACCTGAGAGGAGAAGGAGAGAGAGAGAGAGAGAATAATGATGATAATAAAACAAAGAGAAACAGCTAGAATGATGAAGAGAGAGAAAGAAGAGTGTTGTTTTCCTCTGAGGTCACGCTCCATTAAAGAGTTTACTATCTTGATGAATGGAGGATAAGGTTTCAGTACTCACAGGTCTTCTGGATCGTGGCTCTGAACGTCTCATCATTATATCCGATCCTGTAGAGATGAACACAATCCAACAGTTTAAGATCCAGTTTAAAATAAGTGTTAGTTCTTTGAGTCAGCTTCAGAGTCCTGATCTCAGGCTTTACATCCCATCATATCTTCTCTGCAAACACTACGACTGCCTGCCACAGCTCTCAGCTGCATGACAGGAAGTAACCAGTCATTGGTCTAGAACAGGGGGGTCCAAACCTTTTTCACCGAGGGCCACATACAGAAAAATATATAAAGGTCTGGGCCGCTCTCTAGAGGTATGTTGCCTCATAAGTTCAGTTATAAGTCAGACAACTCAATCAAATGAAGGTAAAGGATGCTTGTGACTTGAGGATGCTTTAAGAAACAAAACAGCTCTCAGCTCTCCAGAGGGTTTACTTTATTCTGTTAGGTTAAACAGGAGCTTCAGATTGATTATAATTACAGGAAATATGAAGGGTCTATTTCACGCTTATTATAAAAATAAGTTATAGGGCTTTTTTCTTATCAAGTTAGATATGTTAGAAAATGTTTTCAGCTTTAATTGACTGCATTTATTTTAAAAGTGGGATTATTAACACATGAATACTACTGTGTAATATATGTGTACATATATATTTAAGAAGTACAATACAAGACAAGCAGAAGTTTCATCTGTGGGCCGTATTTCATTATACTTTCAGAATTTGCTGAGGGCCGATTCCGAGGGCCGCATTTGGCCCCCGGGCCGCAGTTTGGACACCCCTGGTCTAGAAACTAAAAACATCCCATAAGAACAGACTACCTTTCCCACTCTTCTGTAAACCCCCATATGTCTGTTAGAGAGTTGATTACTAAAGTGTGGCTTTGCATGTTCAGCTGGCCTTCTATAGTTGATGGAAGAAGAGCCTGCAGTCAGTGGGCAACATCACTGATCTGTTTCCCCAGTGAGAGAAACACCTCCCTGTGTTTCATACAATACTGCTGAACCAGCAGAGACCCCTTATGCGGCTTTCACACCAGCGCTTTTCCCTTTCTAGCTCCTAGCGAGAGCTTTTCTGGTTCAGCTCTGGTTTCCCTTTTCAGCTCCCGCTCTGTTCACACCGCCCAGAGCTGCCGAGAGATTTTCTCCCACAACAACAACGGGCCGGGGACTGCGTCGGGTCGATGATCGTGTTGCTTTTAATCATACGAAGCCAGATTAAATTAAATAACGACTTCTCCAACCTTATACTTTTCTCCAGAGTGCCGTGATTCATTGTTTATTAATGTGTTTCAGCGGCATTTACCGACCGCTGCAGTGCTGGATGCTCTTCCACGGGAGTTTATTCTCCCGTTACGGGTTAGCTCACACGGCTCTAAAGTATTCACTGTCTGACTGTCACACAAGCAGCTGATACATATCCCCAGTTCCCCTTAAGTGAATGTGTGTCAGTCTGAATTGACGCTGTTTGGCATCACAACGCTGTTATGAAAGTTTTTCTGGTATAACATGGGTGATGTTAGCATAGCAACCGAAGCTAAACTGACTACTTGCTATGCCGTTTTATACAGGCACTTTTTACCGGCGTATTTTTCATTATGATTCTACTTGTGATAGTCGGACATGACAACCTGTACAGCCCATGTATTGATTCCATCCGATAGCTGCTATAATAACAAACAAAACGTCTGCCTGCTCTCCACAATGATCAATAACAGCGAACGGATGGTCAAAGTAAGGTTTCCTGCACGCCTCGACGTAAGAGACGCCGCGTCATAGCTCCGAAGCTCTTGCCTCTGGACCGACAATTTTTTGGAGCTGGAAGTGAACCGCATTCCGGAGCTATGACGCGCCGCCGCTGCGGTGTGAACAGGAAAAACCGGCGCTTTTCCAGCTCCAGCTCCGAACAGGAGCAGGAGCTGGAAAAGCGCCGGTGTGAAAGGGGCATTACTGACCTGAGAGTCTCCAGTCTGCAGTCTGGTCTCTCCAGAAGATCTCTCAGCAGCTTCACATCTGAATCCTGCAGATCGTTGTGACTCAGGTTCAGATCTCTCAGATGGATGTTGGACTTCAGAGCTGAGGCCAGAGCAGAACAGCTGATCTCTGACAACCTGCAGTAAACCAGTCTGAATAAAGAAAACATGATGAGGATTCAAATCAGTTTATAATCAGATGTGTTACTCAACATTGAAATGAATGGGAACAAAAACAAATGTCTTCTTCAGAAAGTCAACTTTATCCTGTAAAACTAATATTACTTCAGATTAACTTTATTCAGACGTTATTGTTTACTAAATATTAAAAACATAGATTTACTTTTCACAACTAACATCTATTACAGTTCCTTTAAGAATCAGTCAACATTTATCTCTGCAGTTCTTACTTTAGTACCTACAAATGAAAGTATGAATAAAAGAACATTTACAACTTTATAGATGTAAGTTAATTATGTAGAAGAATCAGGTTGAATAACTAATGAAACATGAGATCTCCAGCAGTAACAGAGAGTCAGTGAACTGACCCGAGAGTCTCCAGTCTGCAGTTTGGGCTCTCCAGAAGATCTCTCAGCTCCACTCCTGAATCCTTCAGATCGTTCCAACTCAGGTCCAGCTCTCTCAGATGGATGTTGGACTTCAGAGCTGAGATCAGAGTAGAACAGCTGATCTCTGACAAACTGCAGTTCCTCAGTCTGAATAAAGAAAACATGATGTAACTTTAGAAAACAAAGTTCCTGTTTTAAATAACTCCAGGTTTAATAATCTGTTCAGAGTTAAACAGGGTTTTAAAGGTCTCCTATCATGCTATTTTTAGGCATATATTATGGGTCTCAGATATACACAAATATATAAAAACATGTCTATGATGTGTTTTGCTCAAAATACCAAACAGATCATGCATTTTAGAAATCCCTCATATCCCTCTGTTTCAGCTGTTAGAGGAGAGCAGGTTCGGGTCCTTAGCTTGAAAAAAAAAAAGGAGGTGGAGCTAATGCCTGATAAAAATTCTACCAGCAGAAACTCAGCTAAATGCTGCCGTGATTAAACTCCATATCATGTTCCAAACCACATCAAGGATTATCTCTGAAACAGCATGGAGCTCAAACTCTTTCTCTCTCTCAGGTTTACCACAAGGTGAGTTCCTTCTTATTTCCTGCTTCTTCACACATGCTCTCTCCAGTACAGGTTAGCTCTGAGAGTTAGCATGCTAATGTAAACACAGACCATATTACTTCCAGAACACGTCTCATTGTTTCTGACAGCAACGTTTCTGATTGGCCCGTTGGTGTAAAGCCCGCCCACAATTTAGTAATGCCGTCATGACGCAGCAAATCTGGATCAGCTCCGTTGTTCCCCCCTTTTTAGAGATGTGGGTACGGAGGAAAAGAGAGAGGGTTTTATTTCCTGACACTTTGTGAGTCTCCTGACACACCGGGGACACAACGGGGACACATGGGACACACCGGGGGGACACCAGGGACACATAGGGACACATATTAATGTAGAAAAGACATCAGAAAGTGCATTTTGCATGATAGGTCCACTTTAATGTCAGAGATGATGTAGAAACAATCCATTGATAATCTGGAACTTTAACTTTGATCAGATGTTTAACAACTCCTTCATCTCCCTCACAGCTCATCAGTACTGACAGCATCTCCACTGACTCATGGAGCACAGAGTGAGTCTGAGGAAGCTCAAACACTCTCCCTCACACATTCACCTTCTCTTTGTTATTCTGATCAATATTCAGTCATTCGCAAAAGTGGACAAAAAACTTTAATGTATTTTTTTCAAATTCAGAAAATGATAAACACAAACAGATGAAGTTCAGTCAGTGAACTGACCTGAGCATCTCCAGTCTGCAGTTTAGACTCTTTAGTCCAGAGATCAGCAGCTCCACTCCTGAATCCTGCAGCTCGTTGCCACTTAGGTCCAGATGTCTCAGATGGGAGGGGTCAGACTTCAGAGCTGAGGCCACGACTTCACAGTGAGCCTCTGAGAGTCCACAGTGAGCAAGTCTATAATAACACATATATTACAACATGTGTTAAAAAGAGGAAACGTAATGACCTCAAGCATTTGATGAAAAACATATTTGACAAATGTTCTGATTGAGATTTGCTGTTAGTCCATTTTATATATAATAATTAGGGCTGTCAGTCGATTAAAATAGTTAATCGCGATTAATCGCAAATTAATCGCACATTTTTAATCTGTTCTAAATGTACCTTAGAGGGATATTTTTCAAGTTTTTAATACTCTTCTCAACATATGAGCACGCTTTTTAGTTTGTCCCTCTCCAGCTTTGATTACCGCCCTCCATTCAGGTGCGGTGCTTTTAAAGGTGCAGCGACGCTGATTAGCAATTAGGGAATGATTGTGTGTGTGTGTGTGTGTGTGTGTGTGTGTGTGTGTGTGTGTGTGTGTGTGTGTGTGTGTGTGTGTGTGTGTGTGTGTGTGTGTGTGTGTGTGAGAATGTGTGTGTGTGTGTGTGAGAATGTGAATGTGAATGTGGAGACACTGTGATGGATCGTTGGAGCTATGTGCAGCTCAAGGCATATATGCTCGAACGGGAGCTGCCTGGACGCTGCAATCATGTTGCGCCCACTATCCGTGCTGAGTGTGCTGACTTTTCGTACAATGTCCCACTGTCTGGCTACCTGCATAAAGTCAAGTGCTCGGCGCAGTTGTCGGCGAAATGTCATTGAAACAGCTCCTTATATCCGTTAGCGCAGCTAGCTAGCACCAGATGCTAACAACAACAACAACACGTAAGGTGTGCCTCGCTCGCGCCACTATACACACACCCTCCCGGTGAGCGTGGAAGTGTGGTCTGCCACAAGCGGGCGGCAGGAGCGGGGCTGTCAGCATCAGCTTGTAGATGGTATTTTAAACTCGATGCGCTCTGAAACTACAGGGCGACCGAGGACAAAAAATACACATGCGTTAATCGCGTTAAAATAATTAGTGGCGTTAATTTTTGCGTTAACGCGTTAACTTGACATCCCTAATAATAATATATGATAATAGAGTGTAATGTGTTGTCAGTGTGATCTGATCACAGGTCTGTGCTCCTGCTGTCACTGACTGTTACCAAAGAAACAGAAATTAAATAAATCACTTGACAATATTAGAGATGTACATATTTAAATGTTAATTAATATTGAGATGTGAATGATGGATGTTTTGGTTTCTCTGAGCATCTGGAAATGTATTGCGCACACAAACACAGTTAACAAACCAATACAGTTTCAATATTTTAAACTGAATACCATCAGATGTTCTCACTATATGAGTATTAAGACATAACTCTGGTATTGGTGGGATATGATATAGATCTTATTTTAAACTCTAACACATTGTGATAAAAACGTGTGTGTGTTTAATGATAAAGAAACTACTATGTAATAATAACTGATAACTGTAAGTCCTGCTGTGTAGTGTGATCACATGCTGAGAAACCTCTAGAGTCCTTCA